ATGTTGGGAAAGTGTGAAGGCAGGAGGAGAAGGGGACAACAGAGGATGAGATGATTGGACAGTGTCATCGACGCGACCAACATGAATTTAACCCAACTCCAGGAGGCAGTGGAAGACAGCAGGGCCTCGCGTGCTCTGGTCCATGGGGTCACGAAGAGTCGGACACGACTAAACCAAATTAGCCTGGCCTCTGGCTTGGTTACCTTTTGGTTTGGTTGCCCAGCCAATTATGGAAGCTAGTAGAATAACAACCAAACTAACAGATGACTTGATAGCTTTTATGTATGGTAGGCAGAGGGCATATTTTTGTCATGGGCCAAATAAATGAGGGCTGAGATGCAGAGCGTAACCCACTGTTTGTTTATGTGGTGTTTATTTGTGTGAGCGTGTCTCCTTACTGCAGTTAATAGGTTCCTTTGGGATACCATGGGATGCATTTTTCCCCATATCTGTGGGTGATGGGAAAGTTGAAAACAGCACAACTTTGAGAAAAGCAAATCCAAGTTTTTAAGAACTTAGAAACTAAAGCAAGTAAAAAAGCAGAAGAATTTGAAGTACTTATTAAAAACAAAGGTGAACAATGAACATATATTTAAATGTAGCAGTAGCAGTGAACCAGAGATGCTGTAAAGAGAGTCTTAGTGGAGTTAGAGATAGGAATAAAATGTTCATTGGATACTCAAGACTGAAAAAAATTGAGCAGTAACAAACATCTAAAGATCTATGTTAAACAAAAGAAATGACATTTTAAGCACAGTAAGTACATCATAAAATAATAGCTAATTAGATCCAAATAACATACACCTGCGGATTTTAAGAACTTATATGTGAAATTGAAAACTAACAAATCTAACAAAAATGTTCATTGACTAAAATTGTAGCAAACTCAGGACAATTACAAGTTTGCAGGGCAGTGTTCCCCAAAATACACTCCTGACACATTTTTCCATACATCAGTTCCAAGTTAATTCATCCTGACAGTGTCTGAAGTGGCAGTGACTAGTTGGAAAGACATGTTGCGGATGTTAGCTTAATAAAAATAGCTCTTTTTTTTGCGGGGAGGGACTTCAAAACTGTTTGGATACTTAGATTCTGTCAATCCATTAGCTGTGTTGTAGCAAATCAGACTTCTGGTCTCTCTAGATTATATCACAGTTCTTCATTGAACAGTATACCAAAATGTAAAATCCTAAAGTCAAGATCTCGTCATTTTATTCAGAAGCCCTCTCCTTTTCTTTCATATTTGAAGGAAGTAGCAAAGTACTGTCCACTTACCTCTTTGTTAGGTGATGTACGAATGGCTGTGAGAAATATTATAAATCCTTTTAAAAATCTATTTCTGTGTTATTGGAATATTCTGTCCTTCAAAGCATTCCCTCAAGAATTTGTCTATTTTACTCTCAATCCTTTTATTTA